CAGCTTTGCACGACTTATCGTCTATGCTGGGCCGCTGTGTTCCATATTGCCTTCCAATAGTGTCCGCATTAGGAAAAACAAAAAAAAAAAAGAAAACACAAATATCAAATTAAATTTAAATTGCATTTTAACGGCAATCTATAAAATATCGATAATTGTATATATCGAAATTCGTGCCACGCATAGGTTATCGAATTTGAATTCATGTTATCGATTGTTGTTCACAGGCATTAGCCCGGAGCTAAATAAATTTGTGCCCGCCAGCACAGCGGATCTACTGGACTGGTCCTTTATAGCGCGCAGCCTGTACTCGGCAGGCTCAGCGAATCCCAAGCAAAAGATTGACTCGGCCATGCGCGAGGGTCTCGAGGATGTCATAACCGAGGTGATGGAAAATATCAATTATTATTCGCGACAACGCGGACGCGTTATTGAATTTCGTGAGCTGCTCTATGGCTACCATCGGCTGGACGCAATACATGGACAGGATCTTATACTGGATCTGTTGCTCATCTACAAAAAGTATCGTGGCAAGAAGATGACGGTGCCCGTGCGTCGCCATCTCTATGTGCAACGCGCATTCACCGGCATCTTTGTCAAGGAGTTGGACGAGGATTTCTACAATGTAACGCTGCAGCAAAGTGAGTATGGCTAATATCCGAGCACATATTTCTGGAAATAACAAGCTAAGAGTGTCCCGACTCCAAGTCCAGCGTCGAGCTGCCGTTCTTGCTTCTACACACTGGCGAAATCATCGCCAGCTAGGCACATTATGCAACGGCCTACGGAAAATGCTTTCGAGATAGCAGTCGGTTCTTATTGTCCGATTTGTCTGGGCATTAACATGGCCAACAAAAGTACGCGTGTGCATATACCAAATCGCATGGGGGGATTTACCAAAATATTTTAAATCAGTATATATATGATACGAGACTCTACACACCCAGTTAAGAGTTTTCAGCTCCAATAATTTCCAAATTGTGCATAAAAGACCGAGTTTTAAAATCGATTTTCAATATTTTCAAAATATATTTTCAAAATCGAAACAAGAAATGATAAGCTCCTTCTGCGTATGGTAGGGAAGCTAGTTAGTTTCCAACCTTTTTCAGTGAGTTGGGGATAAAAAAAATAAATCTGAAGTAATTGCCTCCTTTCGTCGTCATTACTTAAATAATGAAGTAATTAATTCCGCTGAGTAATTCCACTCCATTTGATTCAAGCCTTGTCATCTTCAGGTCTCTTGGGTAGCCTTCTACACAATGGTATGGCTCGCCTGAGCAGTCACTTTACCATGGCCAGCAACCTGCTGGCACCTCCGCCGGACAATATCGTGTTTGTCCTGCCCATAGCCGGTCGCCTGGCGACCTTTCAACGCTTTCTGGCCACCTATGAGCGTGTTTGCATTGATGCTTCGCAACACTGCGATCTGCTGGTGGTAATTTTTGGGCCGCCGGATGAGCTGACCGAACATCTGCAGCAGCTGAATGAGCTGCGTGCCCGCCATATCTACAAGCAGATCAACTATATACAGCGCAGTGGACAATTCTCGCGCGGCGTTGCACTGGACATTGCCGCACGCTCCTCGTACATACGGCAGGAGGACATTATTCTGTTCATCGATGTCGACATGGTGTTTGGCGTGGAGACGCTACAGCGGGTGCGCATGCATACGCAGCGTGGTCGGCAGGTCTATCTGCCCATTGTATTTAGCCAATATGATCCGAAGCGTCGGGGAGAAGCCAGTCCCTCCGAATCGTTGCCAATCGACGATGAGAACGGCTACTTTAGGCAGTTTGGCTTTGGAATTTGCGCCATTTACAAGTCGGACATACTGGACGACGATATCAATGGCTTTGACAAGGACATAACTGGCTGGGGCCTGGAGGATGTCAAGTTTCTGGAGAAGATTGTGCGCGTCGGCACCCGCCAACATGGCTTTCTGTCCAACACGGCCGAAGTGCCGCTCGACTATAACGAAGCCGCTGAACAGTGGCGACGCCTCACCGTATTTCGCGCGCCAGATCCCACTCTGGTGCACATCTATCATGACATTAGCTGCGATGTGCAGCTGGATGCGCCACAGTATAACATGTGCCTGGGCACCAAGGCAAACTCATTGGGCAGCACCCGTCTCATGGAGCAGCTGTTTTTCAACAATCGCCAGAATGTTGAGTTCATCGCCGAGTTCAATCGGCAGAAACAACAGACCAGATGATGAGATGGCGACGCCATCTCAACGTGGGCATGTTCCACCATAGTATTATGCCTAAAGTTTCCTAATAATGTGTGTATGTGTTCTGTGTGTATGTGTATGCATGTGTGTGTATGTGAATAGACTTGTTGTTGCCAGCGAAAAAGCCAAATGAATACAGACGTTATAAATGCTGAAATAGAGCTATACTCACAGAAAGAGAGAGGGAGAGAGACAGAGTGAGAGAAAAGTAGATACACATTCGGCATGCCGAAAGTTAAAAGCCCTTGCAATATAGCATAAAGCCTAGGTTCTCCGATAAAGAGGACATCTACTTAAACACTTAGCTCACTGTGAAATGATATGTCTGCTCAATAATTGTTTATTTGGTTTATTTGATTTTAAATAAGCACGAAAATCTTTTAAATAGGATTGCAGTTTGTAACACATTTTTGGCCAAATGTTCCTATGTATGTTATACATTAATCTAAGCCTAACACGTCAACATAGTCTTGTCTAAATTTAAACTTAAGCTCATGACATTTTTCCACTCAACACCATGACAAACTCTGACAAAATGCAATGACATTTTTCGAAACACTTATTTCTTATATCTACCACACGGCTGTTATTCCCAAACGGAGTAACATTTCATATCCATATAAATTATACATAATTATGCGTATTTGCATTGTATACTAATAATTAGCTTCTTGCAAGGGCATTTCCAATGATAATATTTATTGTTAAAGAACATTTTATGGAGGTTGCATAGTGCAGCACCAGTTAGTCATAAGCCTTATCCATACATAGTTTATATTGTTGTTAAATTTAAAAATATTTGTACATTAAATATACATTAAACAGAAGATACGCCTATTTGTGGTTGTATTTTCGTTTGGTGTTAAGCCCGTTCGTAGGCCCTTACATATAGTCTACGGGCTGTATTCCTAACAGGGCCAACGCTGCATTCAGCACCTCACGCACCGCCTTAACCAGATAGATGCGGGCATAGAGAACGGGCATCAGATTTGAGCGCTGCTGCACGAGAATCTGCTTGTTGCGGTAGTAGCGGCTAAATAGGCTAGCCAAATCAACAATATAGCGGACAAGCAGATGCACAGCGCACAAGCCCTGATCTAGTTGGACTAGTGTCGATTCAACTAGTTCTGGGAAAGTAAGCAAATAGCCATAGATTAGCTGCCAGTCGAGCTGCAAGCAAAAACAAGCACATTATAGATAATATGTATATGTGTAGACAACGCCGAACGCACCTCATCTTCAAGCACACTAAGATCGATTTTCTCCAACGGTGGCAGCGGCTCATAGACACCCGCATCCACCTGAGCGGCAAATGTGCGTAAGAGTGTTTCTAGACGTGCCGAATTGTACAATATGTAATTGGCGCCCTTGGAGCTGCCCAAGCCATTTCGCACCACAGTAGCGCCACTGCCATGTCGCACCTCAAACAGATCCACAATGACGGCTGCATGACCCAGACGCTGCATCAGACTCTCAAAGTCAGTGCCCTTGGCGCAGTCGCGTACTCCATGTCGATGCATGGCTATGAGCAGCATATCGTTGGAGCGCAGGCTGCCATCGGCAGTACATATAAAAGAAATAATATTTAATTGAGCCGAGGGGCAGCTTAGGTTGCGCTTGGGCATGCTTACGCCATGTAGCTGCCGCTGGTCAGCATTGTGGCAGTCTTCTTGGTCGGTTCGAGCACCGGGCCGCACACCATGCGCACACTCTTCTTGTCCATTTGATCGGTGGAGAAGCGACGCGGTTGATTGTTGCACTCGACGCTGACCAGCAGGGTCTCGGGGGTCTGGTCCTGTGGCTCCACCAGGCGCCAGTTGGCGTAGGCCAGCAATCGACAAACAATCAAATACAGCTGCCTGGCACGGAACTTGTGTAGCTCTTTGGTGTTTCCAACCTCCGGATCCAAAAATTGTTCGTGTAGGGTCAGGCACAGTGTGGGCATAAGAGACGCACTCTTTTCCAGCTTCTTGTGCTGTCCATAGTTTTCGCCGTGCTTCAGTATTGAGTTGAGCACATGGGCAATGATGGGAGGACGATAAAAACGCAACGCGTAGCGCTCTTTGCGCAGCTTTGTGACATTCTGCAGCGGAAATATCCACTTTTTGCTCTGCTCTAGCAGATCCTCGCGCGACTCATCATCCGGCAGCATCTGTTCGGACTGCATGCGCAGCTGCAATCCCTGCTTCTGACTAAAGCAATGCCAATTTATATAACTTGCCGCTATGCTCAGATCTCCGAATTCGATCAGGTTCTCATTATGATAGCGTATGAGCTCGCCGTAGCGCTGCATGCGTCGAGCATCCTCATTCTCCGGGTAAATGGCGAAGTAGTCAATCAGTTGGTGCGTCAGCTCGGTTAGTGGATTTTGCGACATGTTTACGCCGTATGGCCAGTTATACAAAAAAGTGTACGAGGTAAATAAAAAAAAAAAAAAACGATGAAAACTAACAAAAACACAAATGCAATCTAACAGTGAATGTGTCCGAACTGTAGACTCGTTACAATAATAGGTGAACTGATGATAAGTGAAACGCCTTGGTAGAGTTATGATTTTTAATAATATATTTAAGAATTTACGGTTCTAGCCGATACGCTCACTGATTTAAATGTGAACTAGATTAAGCTTTCTGTTTCGGTAAAAAATCTCGCCGCCAGCTGTGCGCATTCAAAAAATGTAATTTTCCCTTGTTTATCGATAGCATTCACAATAGCTTCAAACGAAGTAGCAATTGCTGTGTCCCATCTCTAGCAAGTAAGGTCGAAATCACAAGATTGAATTGCAATTGTTGAATATTTGTTTTGTTCCCCTCTTCTGCGTCATGAATGTCACAACATAAAAAGTTTGTAAACTATCTAATAGTTTAGTTGAGACTAACAAAAAGTGATGAACATTTAACGCGGATTAGCTGGAAACTGTTCCAAGCTGATATTAAATGTGTATTTATTATTAGAATGTGTCCAATGTCCACTTATGAATTCCGTACGCATTGATATAACAAAATACTGACGTCACATATAACAATTTATTGATGCACATTATCAACAGTCGCGGTTAATGTAATGTCCACCATACTAAACAAATAAACTATCAAACTATCGATAGCGTTTGACAGAAACTAACAACAAAAAGCGCAACACGCACATAATAGACACACAAAATATAGCATCTATACTTGTATGTGTGCATATGCGTGTGCTTCTGTGTGCGTGCGAGTGTGGGGGAGTTTTGTGTTTAGCACTCATAACAAACAATCCGTAAAAAATGCCGCGTAATTTAGGCCCTGGATCTCACCTGGTGGATCTAGGCGTTGTCTGCCTAATATGCTTGCGTGCGGAGCCCGGATATTGTTCCATCTATGGCCAGGATCTGGAGACGCCGCATATGCAAATTGTGGATAAAATACGCAGTTGCAGTGCGCTGCGACTGGACAGGCCGCTGCTCTCCCAATTGCCCGATAAGATCTGCCATGGATGCCGCAACGAGCTGAGCATTACATACCGTTTCCAGCAGAAGTGTCTGGAGGCACAGAAGGTATTCCAATCGGCAGCTACAGCTACAGTTCTCCTGGACGTGGACAAGTTGGAGCTCGAGCAGACGCAGCACCTAAAGCTGCCCCCCAGCCTCAAAATTAAACGACTCGACACTGAAGCGGCCACCAGCAAAGTTAAGTATTACAATGATGATGATGATATTGATGATGATGTTGATGATGATGATGTGGATACGCTGACACTGATTCGGCCAGACGATGGAGCCACAACGCTTGTGCTGCAGGATATGACAGCCGTTGCCTCTGACAATGAAGACGACAAAATGATTGCACTGGACGTTGACTGGTCGGATGAACAAACGGAGCAGCAGCGACATTGCAAGTCGGAGCCGGATCTGGAGCTAGACCAGGAGCCGGAGTTTGATCATGAGCAAGAGCTGGAGCAAGAGCAGGATGAGGACTTCAAATTTCCCGTTGAGGAGCGAGTGCACTCACAGCCTACGCCGTGTATTTCCGTCAACAACAACAACAACAACATCAACAACAACAGCAGCATTATCAATATCGGCGTCAGCTCGCGAAGTCGGCGCACGACAGAGCCCAAGATTTGTGACATCTGCGGCAACACGTACAAGTATCAGCATGCGTTAAACGCTCACATGCGGCGCCATAACAATGAGCGTCCCTATCCCTGCGAGGTGTGCCAGAAGGCGTTCATATCGAACGTGGAGTTGCGCCGGCATATGCGTGTGCATACCGGTCAGAAGCCCTACGGCTGCCATTACTGCGAGCGGCGCTTCTCCGATTTTGGCAGCAGCAAAAAGCACGAACGGATCCACACTGGCGAACGTCCGTATGTCTGTGAGGTGTGCAACAAAGGATTTGCTTATGCCCATGTGCTCTCCGTGCATCGGCGTACGCACACGGGCAAAAAGCAATTCCAGTGCACCCAATGTGACAAGGGATTTACCAAAAAGTGTTACCTGGCGACGCATCTCGCGCAGCATCGCAGCAACCAGCCGGACGTGGGGGAGCTGGCTACGGCAACGTTACAGCGGCTGCCCACACGCAAGCAGCAGTCGCGACAGCAACAGCAACAGCAGAAGCAGCAGCAACAGCAGCAACAACAACTGCAGCAACAGCAAAAACAACAGCAACAGCAGCTGCAAGAAAAACAACAGCTACAACAGCAGCAGCGAAAGCAACATATGCGCTATGATCGCCACGACGACTTAGCCAATGTTGATGACGACGATGACTATGACGATGATCCTGTCACTGTGGGCATCGGTGCCATGAGCACCCTTAACCAGGTGGGCGGGGAGCAGGCCAAGGTCTTTGAGGAGTGCATTGTTAACAATGATTTTATGTTCAACGATGAAGATGCGGATGAGGCCGAGCAGGATCTGGCCGATTACCATGATGCTGAGCTGGACGATAGCGAATTTCAGAGCGTTCAACATGTCAAGGTGCCGTACGGACTCGTCAGCGATCTACTCGACGAAGATGATCTGGTCAGCGATACCAAATACTTGATGGAATAGTTTCGTTAGCCCTCTCCCGCCCACCCGTTCTAGTTCTTAAGCATGCATGCAAAGCAATTTAGTATAGTGCTCATCAGCTGTGTAAATAAACCCGAGTTGGCAACGGTTTCCAACATATTCTAGAAAACAATGTCAAAATATTGTCTATATGAAAAATGTCGAGCTTCAAAGTTGAAGAACAATTGTGTACACGAGCAACAGGTTGTGTGCTCCATATTCGACAGCCCAGCAAACAATAGTATAATACACCGAAGTCGAGAGTGCCGACCACGGCATACCCTGCATACAGTTCCGAGATCGATATGGCTAGATCAACTTGGCCATTGATTATCCTTATCATTATAGGATCGGATACAAATTTATCAAAACACGTATTGACTAAGCGCACCACAATTACCTATTATTAATATTATCTATTTAATATAATTATTATCTATGTGAAATATAGCTTAAGAAGTTAAGTTCAAAATACTATCTGTAGATTTCTATTTCCTAGGGTTGGGAAGTATGTAGAAAACAGATATCTAAAATTTGACGCAAATAACTTTCTGTGCTATACACATTTGTATATATATACATATATATATTGATGTTGAATCAGAACTTTCAGAAGTTACATATTAGATGTGCACATGTATTTGCGAAAACTCCAAGATATCGCACAATAAAAATAAAAATTATATTAAGACTTTTTTTTTTTTGAATGAATACAAAAGGCGGAAATCTTGGAAATTTGCGATCATTGTCTGCGTATGTAAATACTCAGACGTCTTGGGATTTCCACTTTCGATTTAAAAAACAATCGGCTTAAAAAATATTTATTTTTTTATTATAGTATTTGTATATTTGCTATAAAAATTCGGACAATTGAGCTAACAACGTTTTTACAGAAGATAGAGTTCTCGGTTTCGGATTCGTATTGTTGGGCATTTCGCACGTTTCAGCTTCAAAAGATGAAATGGCGAGTAAGCACGTTTTGAACCGGTTTGCGGCGAGGTCAACGTTTTGGCCATCGGTGCCGGCGGGCAGTATCCAATGGCTAACAGAATTATTAACATAATTTATTTTTAAACTATTGCAAAACTTCGCCCTACACACAGAAAAAAATATGTATAAAAAAAAAAAACACATGAACTTTAGATATTGAACATAAAATAATAAATTACAGTATGCCGATGGCGACAAGATGGAACAATAAAACTTGAACATCAACAGGCGTCGTCCTAATCCTCAAAGGTAATTCGGCCGGGACCATGGTTCTTCATATAGCGCCTGTAGGCCTTGTAACGCGGATTCTCGGCCAGCTTTTTCTTCATGTCCTCATCCTGATCGGCCTTCCACGCAACAAAATTGTCGCGCTGCCACAGCTCCAGCTGCAGATACTCCTCGATCTGTTTATCCTCAAGTGCATTGAACTGATGCTGGCCCATGCCCATGTGACGACGTATCAGATAAAGCTGCTGTTCCCGTCCGTACGGCTGCTTGAGCACCGTATAGCGCCAGAACCACAGCGCATGCCACACAATAAAATTGAAAAGCGTATACGGGCAGATGAGCAACTGCACCCAAAGCACATCCCAAAGCGTGGGCTTCGCATAGCCGCCCTGCACGTCCATCTTCTCCTCGATCACCTTTCGTATGATGCGCTCCAGTTCCTCTTTCTGTTCGGTTTTCGATAAACTCTTGCGATTCTTACCCTTTCGTGTATGCACACGCTCCTGGATCTCATCGCGCGCAATATCCAGCGCCTTGTTGCGATACTTGGGCACCGTCGCAAAGTATTTTATGGCGGCGTCATAGCGCTGCCAGCCTGAATAGTACTGAATCACCGATATGATGGTCAACGTAACTACAATCACCACACGCACATCCACTTTGGGCGCAACACGTCGACGATAGTAGCGATAATAATGCGCATAGTATGCGTCCGGATTGTCCAACATGTAGTCGTAGTCGGTGCGGGATTCCTCATCGCGCAGTATCTCGTAGGCGGTGGCCAACAGTTTGAACTGCTCCTCGGCCAGCGCTTTGGCCTCCTCGCCGCGATGCAGATCGGGATGATGCTTGCGTGCCAATAGGCGATAGGCTTTGCCAATCTCTGACTTGGACGATTCACGTGTGACGCCCAGCACATCGTAGCAGTTCTCTTTGCCGCAATATAGACCATCCAGAAGGCCCAGACACAACGTGGGCAAGATGCTGACCAACAGGCAGGTGTACAGCCACCTTTGGGACTGTGTGTGTGGCATTTTGTAGGTATTTTGTGTATGTGTGTGCTTAAGGGCGGCAAGCAACAGCTGTTGCTCCTGGCTGCGGGTCAAACTGTTTGACAGTTTCACTGACTGATGCCCCAATGAGTAAGTGTGCGTGCTTTGCTTGGCAACTGTAGTTCTCTGTTCTCCGCTACGTTGCTTCTATGCTGGCGCTTAGAGGCCTTTGGCACTTTCACCACGGCTTCTTAATGTTCTTAGCAGTTGTCTAGAGTTGTATTGGTGTACCAGTGGAATCACATTGATTCCGTGGCGCTTTAAATTGAACTAGTTCTTTTGCATCGGTTCGCAAGAAGTTACGATTAAGAGATTAGTATTAGCATTAAAGCATTAACATTTTTTGTGATTATTCAGCACTATCGAAACTTTTTTTTTAAATTATCTAACATTCTCTAAGACGAATATAGCAAAGACTACATGTTATAATTTCATTGTTATTATTTTTTTTATATTATTATAAAATGCACAAAACTTAACTTAAACTTTAGCAGCAAAGGCCTTCAGCTTATTGAGAAGATTTTAGTTTAATTTCATTTTTATTTATTTATTGAATTGTATCTGGTAATCTATTTCCATTGTAGATCCTTGCATGTTGAAAGCTATTTGTATTTTTTTTTTAAATCAAGCGCGCTTTTTGTGAAAAACTAGTTCAATTCGTAAAACGATTGCTTAGTTCCGATAGCTATTGCTATTAATCGGCGTCTTGTTTATAGAATGTATAAAAGAATACCATGGAGTTTATAAGTAATGTTGAAGATGTTAAAAGGACCATTATTGAAAACACCGAGTTTATAAAGTCGTTGGAAAACTGTAAGTCGCCATCATCAATGCCGGCGGTTGGTGTTTTTAAAATGTTGCGATTCTTTAAAGGTTGCGATGACAGTTTCCACAGCCAAATACAAAAAATGATCAGTGAAACATTGAAGGAGCGCTTGGAGCTAGGCGAACGTCTAATTGCCATGAAGGCCAAGCAGAAACGCATCGATGCTGTATTACAACAAGGATTGGCTGAAACCGATATAGTGGAAGACTTAAACAAGCAGTGCTTACAATCATTTGAAAAGGAAGATAAAAAGCGCATCAATGTTAAAATAACGTCAGAGTACAAACAGTTTAAACGGGAACTGGAAGCCGTTAATGCTGACTCGGGTGCCACAAACACAGAAGATGAGGATGTGGCCGAAGTCATGCAGCCCGGTGTCATGGTGGTCTCAATGCATGACCCGTGGTCCAAGGCACTCATGTTGAATGCAGTGCGCAACATTAATTGCGGTCATCATTATGAACATGATTCAGTGCAGGCTATTATAAAAGACAACATGGGTATACGCTGTCCAGTAGTAGGTTGCGCAAGCAAATCTTATATACAGCCGCATCATCTGGAACCCGATATGGCTTTGCGTGCGAAAATTAGAGCCTATAAAGCTGAACTGGAGTTTGCGGAAACATTGTCAGATGGAGAAAATTAAAGAGAAAGCATGTCCAGAAATCCATTAACAAACCAATATACAAGTTTTGGGATGAAAATGATGTTAACTATAATATATTAGAAGACCATAACACATGAGTGTGGATTTCTAAATATACAATTAGAAGGAATTAAATTAGTCAATAATTGAAGTTTTTAAATGTTGGCAAAACAAATTATCTTCGGTAGTATTCCGAAAACAATCGATAGGCTTTGAGCGATAATCGCACATGGCCATACTATATCTAGCGTTGCCAGATAGTTAAAGAATCTGGCAACGCTCAGCACAGCTGTTCGCCCAAAACAAATTGCAAATATTTCCCAAATAATTTGGCATAAACTCGAAACGCGTTTAACAACCAATGCGCATGCAGCGTGTTAATAATTTGGACGCTGTAGCACGGGAGCATCAGCAACAACGAAAGCATCGTTTTCAGATTTGACGCAGCCAACTGCCTGGAAAAACCGCTGGCAATGATGCCGATGCCCATGCCCGCATACGCATACGATGTGGCCAGCCGCACTCACACGCTTGCTAAGAAGACGCATTATTTATATAATTCTAGTACTGCTGGCCCTTCTCTATATATTCGAAAGCCTCTTTGATCGGGTAAGCGGTGAACTGAGAATTCGCTTTTATTAAGTGATTTTATTACTCTGCTTTACGCTCAGCAGAAGGGTGCCTTTAGCGCGCTACATTACGATGAGTATAAAGCCCAACGAACACGTCCGCTGCTTTGGCAGCAACAGTTGCTGCTGCCGGAAGAACATATCAATCGAACCCGCGATCCGGATCTACGTTGTCGCAATTCGGTGCAGGGAAGTCAACTGCTGGCCGATGAGCGTGGTTTCGTATGTTTACGTGAGCAGATGCTGGCCAATGGCTGTTGTAACGTGGAGCTGGCCGGAATTAGCTACTATAGCTGCCACAGCTGCAACTCCACATCGCACTGCTGCGGCGTCTATGAATACTGTGTGTCCTGTTGCCTGCATCCTAACAAACGGTCGCTGCTGGAGCAGGTGCTGCAGGCGCAAGACACACAAAAATACATCTATGCCAGCGTGGTGGATCACTTTGAGCTGTGCCTCGTCAAGTGCCGCACCAATTCACACTCTGTTGAGCACGAGAACAAGTACCGCAACGAAGCAGCCAAGTATTGCTATGGCACCACCGAGGCGCACGAGTCGCAGCGCGAAGTGGCGCCCAGAGGTGGCCAGGGTTAGTCAGATCACAGCCCAAAGGCAAGTGCAATCTCTATATCTCTTTGTTCGATTGTTTTTTTTTTTTGTAATTGTCGTGGGCTATTGCCTTGATTGTCCAAATTAAAATGAATGGACAGGTCAAGGGTTAAAATCTCTCAACGGACTCCTTATTGTTGGTACAATTGACAATTCGACAGAGTTTTTAGTATAATTCGCAATCCTAAACAGTTAGGGCGTTTATAGGGCAATTAATGCTCGATTTTTGTTTTATCTCAGGTTTTAGACATAATCTTTTAAGTTGCCACGTTCAATGGATTCACAATTCATTCTGGGTGTTATGAACAATTTTCTGAAATCTATATATATATATATATATATATATATATATATATATATATATATATATATATATATATATATATAAATATAGCGACATGTTAGGGTATTTTTTTTTTTTTTTTTTTTTTTTTTTGTGATATTCATAATGATGTACATACACACTTATCATTTATATTTTAGGCTTTATAATGTTGTGCTTTAACAATAGTAATTTATTCAAATAATACAGAAAACATTGAGGGTACGCTTGATACCTGTGTAAAATAGCTTTTAAGTGATTGGATTATTCTTGTGAGGGCACCAAAGGCTCCTGGAAGACTTCGTTGTGATTGATGCCATAATGAATGATGCCGTCTCGCACGTAACCCCAGGCCATGCGGCGTGATGTCCAACTGATGCCCACCTCGCCCTTGTGGTCAATAACAATGGCGCCGCCGGTGCCGCCGATGCGATCTGTCATCTTCTGGCATTCCTGCTTGGCGGCAGCTTGCGCGGAGAGTCCCTGATGCTGGATGGCGCCCAATATACGTTGAGCTAGATTGTAGCGCATTATGGTCTCACCATGGCCTGTAGTAGAGATGCCGCCAATAGTATTTTCAGCATAGGTACCACAGCCGAGCAGAGGAGTATCGCCAATTCGTCCCGGCCATTTGCCTGTGATGCCGCCCGTTGAGGTGCCCACCACAATTAGTCCGCTCGTGTCCATGGCAACGGCGCCCACAGTATCTCCATTCGGATCGGTGCGTGCCTTATCTAGCTCGGTGCGAGCAAAAGTGGTGTCTAAGCCCTGCGCCTCCTGCTGCTTAAACTCTCGCAATGCCTGCTGAGCGCTCTCCGTAACAAGGGAGCCAGCCGGCAGCCGCTCGATGCCAGAGCTTAGCGCCAAGTCCAATGCCGCCTGGCCGCCAAGGAAAACATGACGTCGCCTTTCCATCAACCGGCGTGCCACTGTGATCGGATGCATAACATCACACAGCAGTGTTACACAGCCGGCACGCAAATCGCGGCCCTCCATAAAACTGGCCTCCATTTCCACGCCGCCGGCGGTGTTAAGGCAGGAACCATAGCCCGCATTAAACGACTCATCCAGCTCCATGGAACGCACGGCCGTCTCAACGGCATCCAGTGCGCTGCCAGATGCTTCTGTTGTCGGCTCAAAATGCTTCCAGGCAGCACGTAGCGCGTCCTTGATGCCCTTGAACTTGCCGGCAACGCGGGAGTCGGTTATGTCCCCCGCTCCACCATGTATCAGGATCACTGGGTGTGGCATATTTTTTTGTTTGCTCTCAACTGTTGCTTGTGCTTGTTTCCGAACACGACACTGACTGACGCTTCCAATTGCTGCGCTCAGTTTGCCTTTGTGCTCTTCTTGCTGCTCTATCGTTCGCTTTATGTTTCTTTTCTGCTTATCTTTATTGCTTTGTTTCTGTTTGCTGTTCTCAGCTTGTATTAGGGTGGACCCGTTTCAAGACATTCGCGATTGCATCTGCGCCGCATCCGTTTGATGTGTTGATGAATTAACCAATTTAGATAAATGATGGTGATTTCGATAGCTGTGCATTGATTTGTTATTTGATTCAACATCTCTATATGTATATGAAACTGTTCGTCCCGACTGACTGATTGACTGACTGACTGACTGATTGGTGATCAGTAGTTACCTTATATGATGTATCGCACGTTAAGACAGGATTTCGGGAAATACCACCCGCATATGTGAAAAGTTCGGGAAAAACGTTGGCATGAAACTTGTTTGTTTATTATCCGATCGGAACCAAATTTATTTTCAAAGACCTTTGTTTAAATTCATTTGTGGGTTTTTCACACCTTTCAAGAAATGAATTCCGCCTTGGTTTAAATGGGGGTCAAAGATTTGGTGGGTGACGTTTTGTATTCGAATTCAGTAGAAATAGGATTTAAAGATTTTTTGAGCGAAGTTTTAAGTTTTGTCCGATTTGCATCAAACTTAAGAATACGTGTTTCAGCCAAAAAAATGGTTGCATGTAGGTTTTTAGCTTACCGTCCGATTGGCTTCAAAATCAATTTCGGTAATCTTCTTGGGTGGCAAATATGGGTCAAAGGTTTCATAAATGAAAGTTTACTCTTTAGCTTCAAGATTTTCATCGCAAGACTAACATGGGCGGGAAACGGTTGATTCCAAAACTTGGTTCTTTTTTCGATGCACTTAAAACATATTTTTTAATAAAATTGATTTGAATTTTCTACGGGTGGGTACTTAGTGGAAAGGTAATATCTAAAATTTTTGGCACGAAAAGTTCCACGGGCAAGGCCGGGCAATATCCGCTAGTATATGTATATTTCTATGGTTTCTATTAGTATATTAGGAATACAAATTTTATTAGCTTCTACGGCCTTTGACTAACAATTTCCTAAATGAGCCTGTCTAAGGAATATATATATTTAACCAACTAGATATCGAATAGGAATTCTTGAATAAAGTAGGCATTTGATTTAATTTAAAATTTTGTAAAATTTGGGTAGCCATGCTTTTAATGTTGATTGCTTGCTAAAAGGTGCCGAATCAAAAAGCAAATAAAATTGTGTCCGGATTGCAGAGCAAGAAGAAAAAAAATAAATAGAAAATTTGACAGACAAATCTGGTAAAAATCAAATTTGAACGCGAATTTAAAGTGAAGTGCAATTAACACACCTTGAAAACGACAGATCGCCATGGATCCCATGAAATCAAATGCTGAGATAAAAGACCTTATGAAGACTGACAGCATTGACCAATGGAATGGGCCAGATCCTGGTACCGTTACGGTGGCCACACAAACCGAAGATTTGAAAATTCGTAGCTTGGAGACCATACCGCAACCTCGAAAATTTGCTAGGCCCAAGACAACGTATCAGCAGCAGCAGAAGTGGCCAGATATGAATCTGGACGTAACCAATGAGACAGACAAGTGCACAACTCGCAACAAGGCGTGTCAGACTATTAAAACTGGTGTCAAGCGATTATCGACCGATTCCCAAATGGATAATCTGCGGGCCGTTATGTATCAAAGACGAAAAATGGCCATAGACATGGATCGGGCCCATTTAGAGAAGTTAATGGAGACAATTAATGCCGATCCACCGCCCCCCTGGCATGAGGCGTCACTCCTGTGGCTGGAGGTCGACAAGTTGGAGAATCGCATTGAGGAATTCGACAAAGGCAAGACACCGTAACAAGTTACACGAAGAGCGAAACATAATCCGTCCATAGCTATATTGTGATTGTATAAATAATTTACAGCTTTAATAGTTAAATATATATATAGTATGTACCCCCTAACAGCTTACAGATAAAGGAAAAGGGAAATACGGAGGCCGGATCTATTGGAACTAACATATATTCAAATATTCAATAAGCACGAATAAGTCTTCGAGCAGAGGCGTGCGCTGTCAGTTCAGGCTCCGGATAATTTGAGCGAAAGGATCTCTTAATTATTCTTTGCTAGCCAGGCGGCACTCCAAGAACCAAGACCCTTTTACAATTGCGCCAAAGCTGGTCGGCTACTGATTTCAGCAGCTGAATATGCTAGCTGCCAGTACGTTCCCATTGAGGAATATTTGCTAATATGGCCGACTTCTAAGCCGAGCAAGAGGCAAAAATTCGCCTCCCCAAGGAACAGCGAATTGAACCACGTCTATACTAGGCCGAATTTTTGGTGTAAGTGTAAGCACCCGATTTCTGCACCGGAGAAAGTATAACATATATAACCCAATAGTCTATTGCCTCAAAAACTGAAACCCAGTACGATTCTGTGTAGGGGATCAGAAGACAGAAAACTTTCTTTGTGAATCCCCTGTACCTCTGCGCGGTGAAAAATAATAATTTTAATAATAATAATATTAATAACAATACCATCAACTAAATATCGGGTAGATGTACTTTATGTCGAAGGTCAAACAAAATAATTCTGTTCAGCTTCGAGTGCCTGCGTGTGTGTGTGTCCTTAAGATTTAATTGAAATTCAAGTGCCTTGACTTTTTACCATATGGATGATCCCTTTTGCATGGGATATGACGAACAAATGACCTGTTTCAAGGCCTGTTCTTTGCCTGGGTGCGGGCTTGTTTGTGCTCAACCAGCTGACATGGTAAACGCAACCAGGCGCGCACATGCATGCACACGCACACAAGCACACACACGCACTTTCATGCATACACAGATTCGGATGTGTTTCTGCATATTTAAAGGGGGGCGTGGCAGCGTGATGTTGGTTTAAGGCTGGACGCTGTCACTTGCCTGTATTTGACGAAATTTCCCGCGTCGCAATCGGAGTGACCTCAAGGCTCAAAGCTTCCTGCCATGGTCTCCAGCTCTTTAGTGTATCTGTGTGTGTGTGTGTGTGTGTGTGTGTGTGTACGTGTGACTGTGATTTTGCGTGTGAGCATGTTGGTTGTTTGTGCCCGACTAGACTTTTGGTCGTTGCATTGCGTACTGGCTTCCTTTTGACGCAGCCTTGCTGTTTATTCAGAGCATCATACAGACTCAAGCCAATTGCATTCAACACCTACACAACCTCTGGCCCCCGTCCACAATACTGTAGGTTATATCAACTCCAATGGCCTCGTCAACGACGGCCGACGTTGGCTGGCATGTACTTATGTCCACATGTGCATATATTTGCATTGCCCGGGGTGTCGGCACGGACTGCGCTTTTCAACAACAATGAACCGCATAAACACAACCATGCGACACACGCACACACATAGCCGCCCTCCCACATATATGCACATACATGTGGCACATTCAACGCCAACAGCGATGCGATGCTTCACTTGCAATGCGCTAAACTTCCGTAGCCGGTGCCAAAGACCAGGCCAATCTACATCAAACTGCAAACAAGCCAAGAATCACGCAACTTGATGGCCATGGAGCCGGGACAGTACATGAACAACGGCGACTCGGACATTTGCAAACCTATTCGTGAAATCATGCAAAGATATTTAAAGTCGGACTTGTATTAATTCGGTTGTCATTAGCTTATAACGACCTATTCCCATATAGTTGGAGTGTTGGCATTAGGTTTCCTCACGAAGTACGTAATGCGTAGAAGGAAATGTCTCCAAGCACATAAAGTAAATATATTCTTGATTAGTATGAGCACAGCCGAGTCGACATAGCTAAATCTGTCAACTTCTTTGCAAGTCTCTGATTTAATAAGCTATCGTCATGAAACTTTATTGACCGCGAATGATTAGTAAGAAATTAGGTGCTTCTTTGAAGTATTGGGGATAAATTTAGATTTTTTATAGGGCGGAAAACGAATACTAAAATTTGATGCAAAAAACTTGCCACGGGCAAGGCCGGGTAACATCCGGAAGTAACTTTATAAAAGATTTAAAAACATTCCAAAACAAAAATCCACAATGAAACAACTTAACACAAAATCTTCCAAGAGCATGTGAAGCTTTTATAAAATATAAAATTGTATGGGACTGTGTAAGAAGTTGTTCTGTTGTTTAAACTTTTGCTTGCAGCTTATTTTTGTGCTTATTTCTCAATTACACTGTGCGACGGGTACAACATAAATTTTATTGCAGCGCGTAATTCAATTGCAATGGCATTTTGTGGGCCTCCCTAATGGTTATTCTCCAAATTTCTGTCATTACCAAGCGAGCTGGCTGCCACTGGCCCCTCCATACGTGTAAATATGTTCTAAATGCTCTATACACACGTATGCTTGTGTAATACATTGTCATGCCAGTTGGTGCTCTTGTTCTTGTTATTGTTGTTGTTGTTGCGAAATCAATTCTGCATAAATATAGCGCGTTGGCGTTTGGCAAAGTGTTTTTGGTCGACGAGACTCAGGCTTCTAATGTCCAATGCTCTTCAAGTACTGCAGTTTGAAGGTCACAGAATTTATTTAAAGTATAGTTGATCAATAAATAATATGCTTCAATTTGAAGACATTTAGTTTTAATTAAATTAACTAACTGAATCTATATAACATTTTAGTTAACTTTGAGAGTTTGTATTTAATTAGAAATCGGTGCCATATCGTTTTGTTAAATTTTGCATTCCATTCTATTTTGTAAGGGTATGTATTGATAGGATTCACAATTTATGTGGATATTTCAGTTTGATTTCGTAAAATGTCCTGCGCATGACAAATGTTTTAGAGGGTGTCACAGATCAACGCCAATTGTGGTGCCTATGTAATGAATAATGTGAACGAGTACAGCTCTGACCCAGGGCTATTTTATCCACACACAATGCCAGTTGGTTGAGTCCTGACTATGACTAGAATCAGTGGCACCACTATATCATATATTTTCCAATTCCACAAACATATAAGGGAATTAAGTTTCAGCACCTTTTCCGCAACGCTTATGTGCATTTATTTTCACGGGCGGGAAATGGGTGAAAATGTGAAAGACACAAAGTCATGTGGAATAATAGTTTGTTATTGGGGACGCACATTTGATTTACAAATTTTTTATGCTAATCGATATGTCAGTGATTATTATGTACATGGGAAAGCGTGAGCCAGGCCCTTATGTCAGCTAAATAAGTACCCACTCGTATGCACTCGCCGCTTCATGAGTGCCTCATTATAAGTATTGAAATATTTATGCTGCTAGCCGGTATCAATCATGTTTGCGTTCTGCAACAATCAAATAATTTTCCAAATTATTTGGTCATAACAAATTTATCTGTGGCTTTTACCCAAATTGAAATTCACTTAAATGCCAGCTAACAGCAAATTTATGGCCACAGTGCGTATGCGTAATATACAGCAAATAATTTGCAAGTGTAGAGATTTCATAACTTAAAAGTTATTAAGCGCGCATCACAGTTCTTAGCAAGACCATCTCAGGGACCTTACGTAAGAAACCAAAATGTTTTTGGATAGATAGCCCCGGCGCCGGGCTCAATCTGCGGGTGCAGCCCGCTTTTTAAATCGCAACAGCAATAGAATGTGATAGGGGACACCTTTCAGAGGCTTCAAAGGATTCTGCTTTGAATCCCAACTGTACTGTGTTATGAAGGATACAAGAAGAGTCGAGTGGTCTGCGAACCTCCGCAGACAAACCCCCTTTCTATGTGTGAGGAGGACGTATTGATTCCTGAAGACACAGCTAGTTTTTTTATACCCCCACACGATTGAAGCGTGTGAAAAGGCAGATGTATGTAATAAGGGGATGAAAGAAAATTTGACCACAAAAAATAAATATATTCTTGATCAGGACGATTAGCTAAGCCGATCTAGCCATATCCTTCGATCTTAGAAGCGAGTGAAATTTAAGCCATGTATTCTCTATACTCAAAACGGGATAATAATTTGTTTTTGCCGTTATCTCTTTTCATTATTAAAACAACTAAAAAATCAATTTGAAGCTTGTTTTTTTAAGCACAGCTCGAAAGTTATAAAAGCAAGATACATTTAGCATGGAGGCAATTTTAAAGTATAAGCCAATTTTAGATGTATCAGTTTTTGTAAACATTTCTCATTTGGCTCGAAATTAGAAAATGTTAAGTGGAAGAGCCATGCCATTAAGTATATATACGCGCATTTGGTTGTCATATTAATGACACTCCAAATTTTCATAAAAATCGGACTTTAAGCACCGACGCGGACTGGAGTCAAGTGTAAGCCGCACGTATGCTTGTGTTTCTGTGTATGTATGTAAAGCGGGCGCGGGGTTCAGGGGATTTTCTAATTAGGCATACCCGACTAGAGCACTTTTACTAGGTTTATTATTAGCTTGGCAACTTTAAACCCAAAGCTCGAATGAAAATCTGGCTAAGTAGTTGTGGCGAACCAGCAGCCTGCACTCTATCTATCTAACTCCCCAGCTGGCCATGCCTCTATCGAGCCGCGTAGTCGCATGTAAGTTTTAGCGATTTGTAGTAAGCCGACTTAACGCAATTTCCATATGAAATAAAATCGATTACAGCAACAATTTAAAGCTGCTTAAGCTGAGAAAACATGGGCTCATCATTAACAGCATCGGAATTTGAATGTTTCAAAAGGCGCGAAGGTGGGGTCACGTCCTAAACAATGAATGCGTAAATCTGTCACAATTAATACCTTTAATCGTGCTCACGCGGCACGCGCAAAGTCAAAAGGAAGTTGCTGATGGGGTTGTCGGCGCGGAGGCTGGCGGGTGGAGGGGGGTGGGTTGACTCGGGCTGAGGCGGTGTAATTGTGTAAGTGGGCGACCGGAAACCCCCAGTTGCTCACTCATTTACACCGTTGGCAGCTGGGACAGGCGTCTGAATGGGTGAAGACACGCACGCGGGGCCTTTCACAGGCGTGAGAAGTTTG